GCAAAAAATTGAAAAATTAATGAGAGGAAGCAAACAGATTGAGGAATTCACAACACTAAATGTCTTCATGACAGCGTCCAAACCAACAGTACATGAAGAATAAAGGGGTTTGGGAGATAAACAGAAAGTTATTGTTTTGTCACACCAACAAAAGAACTTTATTCGGTAATAACCAATATTTGCCCCCAAAATCAAACTTCGATGGAGGTTTTTTTTAATTAAGTTCTTAAACAGGGGGGTATGTGCTGACTTCAAAGCACTGAATATTTTCATAGGTAATGACGTCATATGTACGTAATGACGTCACAAACATGACATAAATTTCAGTTTTTAATGAATTCTACAGAAAAATGTACATATTTCGTCGATATTTTGAGTAAAAGTCACCGAGCGCATGTGTGTTCAGGATCAATATTTTGATATAATGTGTAGAATGATAATATCAATGAAATATGTAAATATTAATCCTGAACAAACATGCGCTCTACATTTTTAAAAGCTAAAATTGTTAAAATTTTGTCAATTTTGTCCTCTTTCTGAAAAAAAATCTAAAATTGGACTAGTTTGTGACGTCATAAAAACAAAAGTTGTGAATTAACTACTTTGAAACAATTATATGTTCTGTTAACTTATATTTCTCATACAATTTATTGAATTCAGCACATTTCATGAAGTTTTCAAAATGTAACTCTTGTGGGGGCAAGTATATGCAATATACCGCATATAGTTCTTTGTCAGACCTTTCAACCTTTGACTTGTTTTACTTCCCAAACTCATAAAAACATTTATAAGAGAGAGAAAAAAACTTCAGCAGATCATAGGATCAGCAATATTCCAGTATACGAAGGGTCACACTCAAAAATGTGTTCTAAAAACAATTAGATTGATTGATTGATTGATTGTATATTGTTTAACGTCCCTCTTGAGAATTTTTCACTCATATGGAGACGTCACCGATGCCGGTGAAGGGCTTCAAATTTAGACCTATACATGTACTCGGCACTCAGGGACATTGAGCAGTGAGGGTTCTTTATCGTGCCAACGCCTACCGTGACACAAGACCTACGTTTTTAAGGTCATATCCGAAAGACCCGTGACTTTCACTTCTAGTGCCGAGCGCTTTGCGAAGGAACAGTCACTACCTATGTTTACGTATTACATGTAGGTATGACGCGGCGCCGCGATCGAGAATCGAACCCGGGCCTCCCGATCACGAAGCAAACGCTCTACCACTAGGCTACCGTGACCGGTAAAAACAATTAGAAATTGAACAAAAATGTTACGGATATGTATTTTAATTAATTGAGAATATTTCAGTTAAACCATTAAGAATCAGTCATAGAAAAGCGTTTTTTGTTTCTTTCCGGGCCCAAATGATATTATTTATTGAACGCCCCTCGTATGTGTGGTATAAAGTCAAAACGTTGACACTTTACAAATATATCATTGATTAATAGATAGAAAGTATCATTTGATAACAAATATTTTTAAAAATATTTTTTTGAGAAAAATTGTATCGGTTAATGTGCATATTTAAAGAAAAATGCATCTGCTTAATTCTGACTTTTTTTGTGAAAACCATCATTGGAGAAATAATATATGTTCATCATCGAAGGGCAAGTTGTACATGAATGGTCTCTGAAATGCTGTTATTGAAAGCATGGCATATATAAAGACAAGATTCCTGTAGAATCCGCCATTTGAACTTTCACTTTCAAGTCTTCACATTTGGACAAAATGAACAGGGAAAACAACTTTCCAGAGGCTATCAGAGTCGAGCATATTTTGTTTCTGCAATAATAGTTTTCACTAAGAGCGCGGAATTAATAGGGTGTTTTTTCGAAAATATATGCATGTTTTACGAATTTTTTTCTCATTTAATATTTTTTCAAATTTTTTTTTTTATAAAAGTGATACTTTCTACATGTATCTGTTAACCAATGAAAAATTTATAAACTGTAAAAGTTTTAACTCTTTTCCTCACATAATTTTGGGGCTATTGTAAAAATTTTGGACATGTTGACCTTGGACGAAACAAATTGGAATGCTACAATATAATGAAGTACTTCTAGAATATCAACTATCGGATTTTCAAACCATTGTTGACTTGACTTCCTGCATTGAAAAGTAATTTTGTAATCATTTTAATAATTTTATTGTTAAACGTAAGGATACTCCAGTGTGTACTTAGAACACGGAAAGTATGGTAGAGTGTATGTTAATGGTTTTGAGGTTTGTGCTGATGGAATATCTAACCCGACATATGAAGCACTTTGTCAGTCAAAGGGATATCATTTCTACTCATATAACAGGTAAATTCCTATGATATATTCCTTGGAAACAAGATGTATTTGTGAAACGTTTGTCCCTCATATGGCAGCTTATAGCTAGGATTGAAATTTTCGTCAAGGTGTCAATACTCTATCAGAATACATGTAAAACTCAGGGTTCTCCATGAGCTCTTTTAGTGTGTTGGTCCCGATACAGTAATAATTCAAATTTTATGCTTGCGACACAGTGAAATTTTGCCGACTCAGTAAGGTCTGTGATAATCAGAAAATCCAAACATATAAATTCTCCTCAACTAAAACTTCAATTAAAAATTTTTACCGTCTTTCAATTCTAAAAGGTAGAGCACTTAAATACTATTGCTTCACCTTGCATAATCAATTACTGTAAACGTATTACATTTGGCTATGTATTCTTTTAAGCGTTTTTGGCGGAAAGCAATATCCGCTAATTCAATTTCAACGCTAAATGTCTCGCACAGATATCTGTAAAGAAGAACATTAAGATATGCGCTAAATCAAATACGCGCTAACTTGTTCAAAATCCAATTTCCGCTTAATATCGTACGCGCTAAATATAATACATTTACAGTATCTCTTAGACCCTCACCAGACTTTACGCATAAAGAAACGAAGACATTTTTTTTACAACTTCTATGTAACTGGTTAATTGGTAGTTGCATTAATAATACATTGTATTATTTATTTTTTTAATATTTAAATATTTTCTTTCTATAGAGCCTCGGCACTAGAATTATGTTAGCACTGAAGGTCAAACATAACATCGTACCGAAGTCATTTAATTGATGTAATTAAATTGCTTTAAATTTTCATCATGTCCAAGGAACTCTTAAAAGTATTTAAATTTTCTGAAGTTTCTTTTTTTTTTTTTGTAATTCGGTAATATGATCAAGAAAACTGACACAAAATCACGGAAAATTTACTTTCAAAAATGTTAAGTAGTTCGACTGTATCGAACAAAATTTCCTCTGCCTTTCAGAACATGTAATTTTACTATTATACATATGTACAACCATACCATTTGTGTAACGAAATAGCAATTATATAAAAAAGTGTGTGCATGCCTTCTTGCATTCTTTTGTAATTATGATGAGTAGTGATTCAGTTGCGAATTTGATCGCGATAATGCCGCAAAATTTTCGTGCTTCGCGTTAGCTCCAACACAGTAAAATTTCAAACGATGGAGAACTTAAGTGATCAAGATGCACATCTCATCAAATATGGCGTTTTTCATGTCAGGTCATCAAACATTTATTTCATAAATTAAGCTCTTTAAAAATGTTTCCGTTTACTCATTTTTTTACAGTTCTTATGTAAATAATCAATACCGGACACTGGACATCAATTGCTCAGATACATACATAAACAGCTGCTCCGCAGAATACAGATCCCAATACTGTTGGAATGCCTTGTATCTGACATGTGATTCTCTTGGTAAAATATATTTTATTTTTTTCTTTACAAGAACATAAAGATCTTTGACTATATAAAAATATGGTCACACATTTTCGAAAGCAAGTCAAGCTTCTGCCTACAAAGGAGTATGACACACTGTAAAGTAATCATTTCGCAAGATCTCGCAAGATCTCTTTTCAATACAACCTTTTCTAAAAAAAACAATATAAAATTGATTCGAGGGCTTACTGATGTCTTGAAAACTCTTAATTCTAGGACATTATAATCCCGCTGACTTGTGTAGGGATATTTCTATTTTCCCTTAAATAAGGAGCACATGACGAATGTGACCGGTGATGCTCTTCTTTGGCAAAACCCCCACCTCTGATGTTTAAACTATCATATTTTTTTCTTTGTTGTTCCAGTTCAGTTTTGAAATGGAACATAGGGCGATCATCAAATTACTGAAATGTAGTCATACAGACACAGAGCTTATAGTTTTTCATACATGTATGTTATGCCAAAAAATATATTCCATACAATATGCTTATATTTGAAGAAATCCCATTGGAAACGAATTTATACATAAACAGTATGTTTTTGGTATTTATTCTTAATGTTGATTTGTGTAACAATGTGAAATAAGATACCTGAAAACGATCCAACTGCTACATTAATTGTCTCCTGTTATAGAATAACTGGCCACAATACAAGAGGTAGAGAAGTAAAAACCTATATTAATACTTCGTCAATAAAATTTTGTTCCAATCTTTATTGTCAGATACATGTAATTGAACGTTTTACGAGGTCACTTTTATTTATTACAAAGTGCTGTTTGAGCAAACTTCCATATTTAATATGATATATGGTCTTGTTACATTTTGAATCACCTTACATAAGACAATATCAACACGTTTATTTAAATGCCCAGATTAGAATTATTCAAAATTTGACGAGAAATATAAAATTATTAGAAAAGAATTATATGTCATCCTTTAAACAAGTTTTTTTATGCACATTTTCTAATTAGTATTATGAATATTAGGAATAAGACTTGTTGGATCCTGGTATCCATAATTAACCATAAAATAAAGTTTCAGCAATCATAATTCTCCTTTAATATGGATTATGTAAGGGGGTGCCACATTCTGGATTAATTTACTGGCAAAAATTTCAACAAGTTTTTTTAAGCATCCAGATTCAAACTATTCAAATTTTGAAGTTAAAAAAAGATGAAAATGAATTATCTATAATCTCCTAAAGTCTTGTTGTGCATTTTATGTTTATATATATTAGGAATAAGACTTCTGGGAACTGTGTATCCATGGGCGGGTACTATAGAGATCCTACACAACGGTCAATGGGGAACCATATGTGACGACAGCTTTGATAAACAAGATGGTGACGTCATTTGTAGAATGTTGGGATATTCTCAATCCAGGTAAAGTTGAAAAACAATCGAATTAAAAAAAATTTCATTTATTGCCTTTTGGTTATTCATCTGATTTTATTTGTACTGAATTTGTATTTGATTGAAAACTCCAAGAATTTCAAGAAGTGGAGACTATATACTGAGAACAGACTTAAGTGAAAATTTTGTTTTTGAATTGCTTAATTGTCCTTAATAATTCACACCTTATTCAAAAAGTGTGGGTTTGTATAATTTTTCATTTTGAACATATGGTAAAAACGCTATGTTATCAAACTTAATATGTTAAATGTTATATTGATTTGAAATTTTGGCTTAAATCTGTTCTCAGTTAATAAAAGATTCTTTTCAAATATCTTGTATTCAAAAATTAATGAAATTTTCACAGAATCAAGAATACAGAATTACTCAGTGATGGTATCATTGAAATTAAACTTGAACATTTAATATGAGTGACAAGGTCGGGTCAAGATCATTGCCTTTTCCCTGGACATTTGTAATTAAAAAAATGCTGATATTGATTAATCTTTCTATTCCTACTTATATTTCAAAGATTGAATGTTTTCTTTTTGCATAAAAAGATATTACCGTAAAGGGCCTATAAGACGACATTACCTAATTTACATAAATAATTTTTAAAACTAAAATTGATATTGACTAATCTGAATTTTCTCCACTTATCTTAACTTTTTAGGATAAAAAAGTTATTTTTATACGCTTTCTATATATAAATAAAATGTTTCGATCGTTTAGAAAGAGAAAAAAAATATTTTTTTTATACATTTGTTTGGCTCAAATTTATTATAAGATTGGAAACTTATGTAAAAGGCTAACATAGGTTAAGTTTTTTGAAAAAAAAAATCATATTGCTTATTAATGATATATTTAGGCAAACTAGTCTTTTATTATTAATTAAACTGATTAAACATTTGAAAAGTTCTTCAAGTCTTTGATTGCGTAAAAATAAATAAATTTATTGTTCTCTAATAATTTTGACAGGCAGAAAAAATAATATATAGTCTCAAAGTCCAACAATATACTCCCTGCAAGTTTTCAAACGCAGTTTACCATTTCCATTAAAAGTTGTACAATTGGGATGAGGAAAGAAAAATATGGCTTTTAAATCTCTTACACCTTAATATATAATAAATATAAGCAAATGTACTATGAATATTTCATCTAGTCAGGAATCAGAAAAGAATCCTACCTAAATGGTCTTGGGGCTAGGTTTTCATGTTCTCATTTCAAGAAATGGTCACAAATTTCAGTTTTAACGTGAATTATTATAAATCATAATTATATGTCTTCAGATACACTTACCATAATGCCCGCTACGGACAAGGGAGCGGCCCAATATGGTTGGATAACCTAGGTTGCAATGGATATGAGAGTGACGTAGCTTACTGTAGTTCAAATGGATGGGGGAGGCATGATTGTGGGCACTCGGAGGATGCCGGAGTCTACTGTAGTAAGTACAGAAGTACAGATTAATACAATAATAAGAATTCATAAATATGTATTGGTATATTAAATTCTAAACTATTTTTGTTGTTCTTTAAAGTAGTGCTAATGTCTAGTTTGATACTTTTTAACCTTGTTGCAAGTGATTATGTGTAATACAATGTAAGCATAAGAAATGTTAACTGGAGCATGCTTTTTTCTATTTTGCGGAACAGCTAATTCCACGGAATACGAAACTACCCCATACGATCCCTGTAGTAGATATCAATGCTACAATGGTGGAACGTGTTTTGTTCGAAACAATGGCTATCCTGAGTACTACTGTATTTGTCCAAGCGGATACACCGGGTCAAACTGTAAGTCTTCTGAAATACTAATTTATCGATCTGTGACAATCAATCCATATGATATCATTTCCTGTGTCAATATTCATTCGGAATATTTTAAACCTTCTCTTGAATCTTCAATATGTCTAAAACTCATTATCTTAAGTCGAGAGGTTAAGGTGGGAAAAAAATTAATTCACGCATATTTTGAAAGGCTTAAGCTACTACGAGATATCGACTTTTGATCCTTGTTATGGATATCCCTGTCGTCATGGCGGTACGTGTTATCGCAACTATGGTTACCAAGGATACTACTGCGCATGTGCAAATGGATATACCGGCCAACACTGTGATACATCTGTCGGTCAGTAATAAAAATGTTGCAATCAATGTCTTATATTAAAAATCCAAATATAAAAATTAAAGTAATTTGTCAGACTCTTATGCGACCTAACATTCAACTTATTTTAGATATATTCATTTGATTCGACAAATGAATATATCTAAAATAATTGATAATTTGTATTAAAAAAAAATCATCAAAATATTTTTATCGAATAGAAGTACGCTGCAAGCAACTACGTACTTTTTATGGTGAAATTTGTTTAATTTTATCAAATTTTATTCAAACGAATTCCAAAACGTTATTTGCTTTTGAAGGGGAACCACTTGAATTCCATAATAATTTTGAAAGAAATGTTCTTCAGAAACTAAATTAATTTCGTTACTGATCTTGAGAATCTTAAGCATCCCTTAGATACATGTATCCATTGTTTATTTTTATTGTATTTCAATGGAAAAGATTTCTTGAAGCTTCTCTTTCAATATTAAAAAAGATAAATCGTGAGTTGTAATACAACATGCGAGTAGAGATATCAAGATAATTTTTTGTACTTTGAATAAATTCAGGTTTCTCAGCAGAAAATTCCATCTCCGTTGCATGTACGGATAATACCTGGGACATTTCCGTTTACCTGCCTCCTTTTTACAACAGGTACTCCGACTTCAACCCCAATGACATTTATTTAGGAACTGATAGCTGCACTGGGTATGTGAATGGAAATTACCTGCACTTCCGGTCTGATTATTCAGCCTGTGACACGACAATAAGGGTAAGCTATTCTAAAGACACGTCCATTTTAAGCAAATGTTTATGATTTATATGCTTTTAGTATAAAAACATAATGTTTTGAAAGTAATAAATACATTTTTTTATTATTTCAGACGTTAACCGATCATGTCGTGTATACCAATCAATTAGTATATGCCCTTCACGATCCAAACCATCATTACATTATACATGAATATCGATTCCGTGTTCCTGTGGATTGCTATTTGAAAAGAAATGAAGCAGGATCGGGTCATTTTAATCATGGCCATGACGTCACAATGCCTTCAGCTCATCACGTGACAGGATCGACGCATCATAGTGTTCATATACAGTTTTATACTGATTCTACATTCAGATACACAAAACCTTTATATGGATCCAGAGTAGGCGACAGGGTATACGTTAAGGCCTATACTGATGTAAGAGACTACAATCTTAAAATGAGAATTTCAGATTGCTTTACAACGCCTACTCCATCTGAATTCTCTAGTATGAAATATTTCATCATTCAAAACGGGTAATCTCAAATATTGACATTTAAATGTGCATAAGATCCAGAATTATTCTCTTAACTGAAATTATTCACTTATTTATCATTTCAATTTGATTATCCTCTAGTTTGAATTATGTAATATTTTTCAGATGTGTAATTGATCCTAATGCAAGAATCCTTTCACAAACAACACACGAAACAAGGTTTTATTTCCAAGATTTCGAATACTCCACCAATCATGACTCTCTATATCTTCACTGCAATGCTACGTTTTGTAAATCAAATGACTATAGCGCTTCATGTGAGCAAGCTTGTAGTCATCCGAGGAAAAGAGTAGGAGGGGGTGACATTATTGATAGAGGTCCAGTGGAGTCCATGGCTGTCAATGAAGCTGTAAGATTAACTAAAGGTATGAAGTCTTGAATTTAAAGTGATATATATGGCCATTATGAAATTTACGTTATTGCATACAGTGTATCACGTGCCGGTTAAATATAACATAACAACAATTAAAATCTTCCTTTTTATACAATATGTTGTACGTAATTTTGATGCAATATTTCATTTCATACTACAGTGGCATATTTCAATGTCTCAATATAAGCATAAAGTGATAAGTATTTTCCAGTATCTTTAAAAATGATTTTATAAAACTGAAAACTGCCAGCGTCATTTTCCCTAGATTTTGTCATGAAAGTAGTTTATTTTTTTTTTTTAATTCAACTAAGTATTTTTCTATAACTTACCAATGTTTAGTTCGAAAAAAATCTAAAAATGTAATGGTTAATTGTTCTACTCATTACAGCTGATGACATTGGAAGTTCAAGCAGTAGAGGAAGTTCTACTGTGATAGCGATTCTGTCGGTAATATTTGGAATAATCCTAATAACCGTAGTAACCTTCATGGTTCTAGGAAAGATAAAGAGAATCAGGCAAAAGAAAACACAAGTTGTTTAAAATAAAACAATGCAGGGTTTGCAGCGATTCCAAGTGATCATTCGTCTTAGATACTTTGAACACTTTTCTTCTAATAAATATGTAATTCATATTCAAAAATATTTGATTTCTTTCAACACGATTGTATTTAGTGCCAAGTGTGTAAAATTCCTTGAAACTAAAATCTCAGTATTTCAAAGTCATATTGTTGACTAGTTAAATCCTAATTTGAAATGGGATTTACTCAGTCCTTTCATACTTGATTGTTATTTGAAATATTACAATGTGAGAACTGTATATATAGAAGTGAATTTGTATCTTGAAAAATGTCTTTAAAAAATCGAAATTAATAAAGTTGATATGAAAGTTGTTTTCTCGCTTACAAATCAGATTTATAGGTTCTTTTTTGTAAAAGTATTAAAAAGTCTAAATGATGAAAGATACCACGGATTCTGACACATCTGTTTTCATATTTCGATATTTTACTTGAAAAAGATATTAATGGTAATCAAACAACCAAGCTCTATGATAAACGTGATGACTTTAACATGTTAGATTATCTTTCTCTGTGTTATAATCCGTGGTATGCTATGAATGTATATTGCTGCTTAAAAAGGACGAAAGCTGTATAGCTAGCTATATTTAAGAATTAGAAGCCAAACAAAACGAATGTATTTATAGACTCTGAGGTAGTTTGAGAGACATATTCACTATTCTTTAATATTTCATTAAATCATGAAAGTATAGCAAAAACCGAAATGATTTTTGTTCTTTAAAAATTAAATTAAGCCTTAAATGTGCTTTAATAGGCACAATTAAGCCAAATTCTAAATTGAGAACCGTGAAGCCGGGTTTTTGATTAGAAATACATGTTTATTTTTAACATTCCTACACAAAAGCTTATTTAGTAATTTGAAAGACTATAAGCTTACGTTACTCAATGTATATTTAAATGAATACAATCTATTGCCAAATAAAAACAGATTCCTGCGCCCCGTGAAGAAATATATAAAGATTAAATAAGATGTGACATAGGCAATTAAAACATATCAGCCAGATTTCGGCAAAAGTAGTTAAATCCACTTCAAAATTGGTGCAAGTACACTGAAATTGACAACCTTGAACTTTTTATCTTGATCTCTATGCTATAATATCCTATTTACAAGCTTACATTATTATACTTCACGCTTGCAAAGTGGGAGGGTATAAAGTAATCGATATGTCCGTCCGTCCGTTTGTATGTAACGCTTTAGGGTACCCATCTCTTATAAGTAACTCCTCTCATACATGTATCACTGAATAAATTTAAATCAAACTTTCACAGAATTTTATTACGCATCGCCATTGTGCAAACGACCCGACACATATTTTAGGTTTCCCATGTTCGTTCAAGGAAGACGTTTTGGATAAAGAAGTTAACTGTAAATAGGAATAGACAGTTTCTAGTTATTTTCTGAATGTTGTTTTGTTATAAATAGGGTTTTCTCTATATGTAAACATAAATACGCATCAGCCTTGTTTATATTATGAAGAACTTTAATTCAGTTCTGATTGATTGATTGATTGAATATTGTTTAACGTCCCTCTCCAGAATATTTCACTGATATGGTGACGTCACCATTGCCGATGAAGGGCTGCAAATTTAGGCCTATGCTCGGCACTCAGGGCCTTTGAGCAAGGAGGGATCTTTATCGTGCCACACCTGCTGTGACACGGTGCCTCGGTTTATACGGTCTCATCCGAAGGACCGCCCCATTTAGTCGCCTTTTACGACAAGCAAGGGGGTAATGAGGACCTATTCTAACCCGGATCCCCACGGGGCTAATTCAGTTCTGTATCTCTTTTGTTTTGTAATCAAAAATGTTCTTCACACTCTTGCTTATCATTTCACTTGCCTTAATTAGGAAGTGTAAACATTACAACTGGTTTTTAAAAAATCGGTTGAAACTGTGTCCATGTTCTTTTAAAACACTTTTTTATACTAACTCACTGTATAAGATCTACAGGATTCAGTTAAAAAATTATATATACCTATTTTTCTCTAGATAAAAGCGTTTTCATTAAACAAAAAGTCTATAATCACAAAGAAAAGATGTATTAGTTAACTTAATTTTACAAAAAAAAGGGAAGATGGAAACTAAGAAAATCGGGAAATAATGTACATGTATCTGTATATGATGAATTTAACATTCTGTTGTCCTCAGAATACCTTTCATATCTTCTGTAATGAAGAAATTGTCCACAACATAATTGTAGTTTTAAAAAAAAACATTGTGAGTTATCAATATCATCTTTACATTCCTCAGTATTTAAAAGCTCATCGTAGATTGATGTAAGGATTTAGCAATATTTAACAACTATATCTTCATTTTATGAAGATATCTACATTTATTCTCTTAAAAATTGTAACACATGTACTGTTATGAAACTCTTACATTTATCGCTCGTAATTATGTTATAGCGCTAAATATTTGATGGTCTTGTTTTGCATTTAAAGTGGTATTATTTTCTAGGACATGTGTCCTAATAGGAATAGCAGACAATTTGAAAAGATTATCGAAATATTATACGATTTAAGTGCTAAATTTATCCAATTCCCTTTGTCAGTACTCTGTTTTGATGAAAGTTTATTACCAGTTAAATGTCAAGGTCTGGGTGATGTAAAGCGTATAGATGTTTTTCATTATTTAAAAATGCACTAAGATATAACATATACTGCTTACAAGACACTCACTTCTCGCCTGAAATTGAGAATGAAGTGTGAAACTTGTGGGGTTATATATGATTTTTATGTCTTTTACAAGCAACTCCAGAGGTGTTGCACTTTATGTAAATAACATCTTTGATTTCAAGGTCATGTCAGAAAAAGGTGATAAAGATGAAAACTTTCATATTATTAAAGCTTGTATCCAAGGTCATGAAATAATAATTTGTACTGTATATGGTCCAAATAATGATGCTCCAAGTTTTTTTTAGAACATTTAAACATATTTAAAGGGCATGAATTGTAGTTATGTTATATGGTGCGGGGAATTTAAGTTAATGTTGAATCCAGACGTAAAATATTCTAATAATTAACATGTAAACAAGAACCCAAAATTAATTAGAAATCATGGAGTCCAGTGGATTTACAGACACCTACAGACAACTACATGAACAAGAGGCCCATGGGTGACAGAAAGATGTTTTACATCTACTGGAATCAGTGGAATAAATTGTTTCTATGAAATTAAACAGTCTTATTTATGTAAATGAACATGCCAACTCTTTCGCTCTCTTTTTGTCTCTCTTTCAAAAACCAATCTGTAAAAATATTAAAATTTTTGTAAAATGAACAATGAAATAGATTGTGTAAAATAGATAATTTTTTTAAAGAATTAGTACAAGGAAAACGCTTTAAATTCTCAATGTTATTTATTAATTTGTTTTATTTAAACCTTCTACAATATGTATTCCATAAATATTTGTCAAATCGACCAAACTCGGCACAAGAAACATGATCAGAAGTGATCGTTCGGCAAGGGGTGTTCACTCTTCCATGGTACCTGATCCAAACTCTGGGCTAGTTTAGCCCTGAACTAGTTCAGATATTAATTTCCCCCGCTCCTGATCCCTCATTTGTTTTATTTGAATGAACTTTTGAGCTTGAATACGGATCTTTATGAGTCATTTTCAAAAAATGTCCAAATTCCACCACCAGAATTTTGCAAAAATAAATGCGGCGATCTAAACTTTTTAAAGTTTTATTTTAGCATTCAAACATCAGAGATGCATAAACCATGTTAAAGCACAAAGAATTCTATTAACATATACTAAAAAAAACATCATATGTATTTGGACCCAACAATAAATGTCCATGGAGTTACTTAGTTAAAAGTCGTAGTAAAATCATAACTTACAAAAAAAATTAAGGTTTTTAGAATAACAATCTCAACATCTTGATAAAATTATTCTTTTGAATCAAAGTGAGGTTTCATAACAGAAAATTATCAGATAAAGTAAAGCTGGAAGTTGTAAGTGTTGTAACTTTTGTCTATATCTTACACGTTTACTTAAGGCATACATCATTTACCTCAGCACAAAATACTTGCTTTGCATATAAACTTAGTATTAGAAAACGACAGTATTGTGCTGCAAGTTTCGATAAAATTGTATAAAGATTTAGAACATAAATGTAGGAAAAATGTGTTGGTAACACCAAGGATATTTGAATAACACAAAGGACATAAAGGTAACACTAAGGATATTTTGTGCAATACTTAGAAAGAAAATAATAAAGTCGTTCCCCTTCCTTCCAAAAAGGATAGTAATGAAATTACCCTAGAGGTGAATATAAGAGTATATGGTTTTAAGATAAAAAAAATGGCGGGGGATTTCTTTCATTATACATTTTGAGTCTGACTAGTAACACCAAGGATAAAACAGTATCAACATAGACATAGCTATCCAATCATAAAAATATATGATAATAGAAAAATGAAATCAAATTCTCATGCGCGAATAAAAAATGATTACTATCACATAACATTGAATAATTGATCAGTACTTGTTAGTGTATTTACATATCCCCGCAGAAGCTGTAACACCAATGACAAAAAATAACACAAAGGACATCTTTAAAAGATCCAAAGGTTTACACAGATGAGTCTTAAATCAGCTAGAACAATTTTTAATGAAGAAAAAATTATGAAAATAGTACATGTACATGTATTTGTAAATGACCAGATTTCAAACATATAGGATGCATTAATCTTTTTATGGATTTTACATTTTCATTTCATTTATCTACAGCTAGCCTCTTTCCACAATGAGCTCTCTATATAATACACATCTACAAGATATGATGGTGACAATATTATTAAAACATTAGCAATGCTACGCAGTTATGATAAGGCTGTCCGAAGGCTTGAAATGCCTTACAAATATGCATTTTATTTTGAGCTAGATTTTAATTTTAATATGTAATCCTTGTTTGAAATTGCAGTCAACTTGAGACAATAGTTTAATCATATTTTATTTTATAGCATTTTTGTGATGTCACGTGACTGTGTTGATCACGTGACGAAGATTTATGATATTCGTAATTTTTGCACAAAAATCGCTTCGGCACAAGTGCAAAATAAATATATTGTGCAAAGTTTGTTACATAGATCAATTCATTGTGATCTCCGGTACATAGAAAGTGCTGGGGGCAGGTTTAATTTTTACTCGTTAAGAAATTATTTTGCGAGAAATTCAACTTACCAGCATAAGAAGGGGTATTTTCCACACGTTATCGCGATTTATACAAAATTGG